CATATTCTTCTGGACAGTACTTGCATTTCGCTTTTTTAACACCGTCGTCATCAGTGAACTTACTGAAGTGTCGCCAAGCCACTGATCTTTCTTTCATGATTTTTCTTTTCTTCGAACCAGAATCACATTCGACGTTGCTTATTATTTGAAGCACCACTTTCACCACATTTTACAATGGCTTGAACTTTATTCACCATCTCTACCTCATCTTCCATCTACGAAACAAAACAAAAAATTAAAATTAAAATTGGATTCAAAATAGTAGTATAGTATGGTATGGTCTATTTCTGTTTAAGAAAATCAAGAGTGAAACCCCCAATTTATTTCATCAATTTTATCCAAGAAATAAAAGAGAACAAAGAGACCTAACCCTAGTGTCTTTCTTAACAATTTCATTAATTCTTAGTGTCTTACCAGATACCAGTTACCAGTGCGGTCTCCGGAACACAGAGAAGAGATAGAGGAAGCGACGAGCAGGAGGGAGCAGCTTGAGGCGTCGCGTGAAGACTGAAGTTAGTAGCACCAGCACAGCAGTCTCTGGGTGTGACTTGCGAGGCGTGAAGAGTGAAGACTGAAGCCGGGAAGTGAGCAGTGAGGACTGAGTTTGAGGCGTGAGAACTCAAGTTGAGGTATTTGCTGCCATGGCGTGAGAACTCAGGTTGAGAGCTGTGAGGACTGAGTCTGAGGAGTGAGGACCACAGACAGAGGCACAGAGGATGAATGAAATAAGACCTAATGCACCTAACCCTAAAAATAAAATTAGAATTTATATTTCCCTTAATAAATTCGGATTTCGGATCGGATCAGGTTCAAACTATACAAATCCGAATCCAATCCGAAAATTCGAAATTTTAATAAATCAAATCCGAATCCGAAATCCAAAATCCGAAATCCGAATTTCAGCGGACCGAATCGGATTTCGGATATCCGATCCAAATGCACAGCCCTAGCGGCGGGTTTGGGTGGGGGGAAGTTTGAGTGAGAGAGAGAAGAGAGAAGAAAGAAAAGAGGGAAAGGAAAAGAAAGATGTTCCCTGTTAGGGTTTTTAAAAAACCTTTCCGACTGATTAGGTCGGTATTTTGGTCAAAGCAGTCAACCTCGTTTTACTAAAAATTTTCGACCGAATTGGTCGCTATTTTATTTTTTATTTTTTTAAAATTATTTCCGACCGAATTGGTCCCTAACAGTGACACGGAATTTTCCGCCAAAATTTACGACGGATATAGACGGAATATTAGTCGCAACTATTATTACAAATTAAAAAAATAAACTTTTATGTATTTTCAGACCGATTCCGTTAGAAATTTCCGACTACTTTTTTCCGTCGGAAATTGACCCTTTTTTAGTAGTGAAAATATCTCGGATACAATTTGGTAATGCTGTAACTAAACGTAAAATTACGAGTCCGTCCTAATTTTCTAATTGTTAAAAGGCATTGATAGACAAATGGGACTCTAGGACCTTTTTACTTCTTTTTCTAGGACTAGAAGGCCTCCAAAAAGTTAAGGTTCAGTTAGAACTATGCATACACACAAATTTGTATTTTAGAGATAAATGGAGATGAGACAAGAGACTGATAGTTTAGTTGGACTATAATTTCTAAGTTAAATCATCAAGCACAAATTTACATCTCAGTTTTTGGGCCTTTTCTCGACATTTTTTATTATTTAATTTCTATCTATTACATTGAGAAATCAGGAAAAGGAAAGCCGGACGATAAATATTGAAGAATTAAATGACGACGATAAAAGTTGTTGAACACTTTTACAATTTATTGGAATTTACCCGGAGTACAATTCTACTAAGTGCACAGATAGTCATTCTCAGTGATGCTATTTAAAGATTAGTCAGTACTTATTTTGTCCTAAAATTATAAACTGAAAATCTTAACTTCAAGACAATTCAGAACAAAATGCCCTGGAAATTTGAACTGAAAAACTGAAATTCACGGTATAATGGCTAATTTTTAAATAGCAGCCCTTTAGAGTGGCTATTTAGTGTCATTTCTACCCTGATTTCAGTGTATTTCTGAAAATGGGCTTCTCTGTGACCTGAAAGCAAAGCTAGATAAGAAGCCCACATGAAGCCCACGATCTAGGAGGAATCAATTTGAATTTACAATCCGTCAGACAACTTGTAGCGAATGAATTTGGGCAAATTACACATTTGGCGGATCGACCAAAAATAATTATTACTTCTAATTAAATATATAAAAAATATGTATATTATATATTAATACACAAAAAATATATACTATGCCGGTCATTACTTTTGGAGCGACTATAATATATAATTTTACCAATAATAAATTTATATAAAACCCAGTCGCTAGGATGCACTATTCTGAAGAAGAAGGAGGAGGAGGAGGAGGAACGGCGATATCAATCTCACGGAATTGATTTCTCACCACTACATCCTTCAAGTTCACACTTTTCATAATTGTCAACACTCCTTTCTAATTTTGGCTAAATGTACTTCACGATTATAGTGATTTCACAAATGATCGTTCTAAATCTTTAAAAAGAACGTAAAAGATAACAAAGTAAACTTCCCCACTGTGTTTCTCTTTTTATTTCCAGTTGAAAAGGTATCAAGACATGCTTCTAGATATATTACTCAAAAGTAAGGGTGTTCATCGGTTGGTACGATACGGTATTTAGATATTTTGGTTCGGTATTTTCGGTATTTGGTTTCTTAAAATCCTATACCAATACCGTACCTAATTAAATTCGGTATGGTTCGATTTTTCTCCTTTCAATTTCAGTTTATTTGGTTCGGTAACTTCGGTTTATTTGGTTTGAATACTAACTAGTGCATAGAGCCATACACTCTAATATTCTTAATTAAAGTACTCAAAAATACAAAACTGAAAATGTTTGCTAACAAAACTTTTGTCCAGAACTAGCAAATATTGACCCAAATAGAGAAAATTGTATATAAAAGAATATTTGATCACTAAAAATGTCTTGTTAATTGTTTAGAGTTAATTGATGAACTTTGAGAATAAAGGAAAGTAAAATTTTAGATTTTTTATATTTATGTTATAATTGATAATATGTATTTTGTGTAATATAATATATATTTCAATATGGTATCGGTATTTCGGTATTTTATTTTAAAATACCAAATACCATACCTAATACCAATTTTTTAAAAAACTTAAACCAAATACCATACCAAATACCAAAATACCATATACCAAATACCAAAATTTTCGATTTCGGTACAATAATTCGATATTTACCAAATTATGCCCAGCCCTACTCAAAAGAACCGACATAATATACCTAATCAAATCGAATTGAAAAAATAAAAAATCTAGACAAGTATAAATTGAACTTCTAATGCTAAAAACTTTATTCTTCTACCTAAATTTTAAGTGTAAATGTTCTAAATATTAAAACCAAGTGGGATGGAATATTTTCAAAATTGAGATTTGTAACTATGTTAATCAACATATTATAATCTATACTTCAATGTATGGATTTGCGTTGTGAGTAATTAATAGGTGAAAAAATGTGAATTTGATCCACACTTCTTTGATTGGTTAGTCAAGAATAAAACATACATCAGTCTGGCTTCAAGTTTTCGTAACAGGGGATCTTATTTGTAGATTCTTTATTTTGTGTTCAAGAATTTCCTAATATTTGTCGTTTGAGTATAATTTTTTGTTTTGTTAATATGCTGAATTCTTTTTAACCATCGACGCCGAGTGATCATAAGTTGCATTATTATTGTTGACAATCATTATCTAAAATCAGCATTACCTTTTAAAAAATATACTGCCATTTCAATATAGCTCGAGAAGCATATGATGCGTTATACCCTGGCTTATTATTACCACATGCATCTTTCTCTGTTGGCTCAAAAATATACTACTATGTGCCAAAAAATGAATTGGGCCTAGAATGGCGGGGCGGGCGGAGCGGTTGCTGGTTAAGGGAAATCGCACATTTAACCCGCCCCTCTCGCATAGCAATTTTTGTTATTTTCAACCCGTCCCCCATAGAATTGTCCTGCTTGACTTTTAAATTTATTTAATTTTGTTATTTTGCAACAACAAAAATAAACGGATACATGGGTTAATAATAAGCTCAAACGCGGTGAATGCCAACTAAGGGTGTTAAACGGGTGGGCCGGGAGGGTAGGGAAAAGTTGAAATCGTCCGGATTTCGAACCGGACTGGTTACGGGTTAAGGGTTACCGGGCTTAACGGGTTCGGATTCATCCGGGTAAAAAATGAACCATAAGGGTTACGGGTACAAGGGGCCGGGCACGGCCGGGTTAGGGTAATTTTTAATTTTTTTTGTATTTTGTATTACTATTGTAAGTTATATTAATATAAAGTAAAAATCTAAAGAATACAATGACGATGGGAAAAAATTGCACTTATAAATTGCAAGTGCTACATTTATTTCAAAATTCAAACTTAGGTTTACATTTAACAAGTAAATTAACGAAAAAGAGTAAATTCAAAGGTTTTGCATTGCCTTAGACTCTAAAACCTTTAAAAAAAATGAATCTAGCCATTAAACCGGACCGAGTCGGGCCGGTTAACCGGTTCTACAGGAATTTTGGTTGATCGGTCCAGTTAACCGGATAAATTAAAGTGAACTTACCAACCCCTAACCCTAGTAACCCAGCCCACCAGCCCCTAAGTACCGGGCCGGCCCGGGTCAGCCCGGCCCGTTTGACACCTCTAACGTCAACTAGAAAATCTGAAAAGCCACCCATGATAATTAAGAGTGACACCCTAGTATAAACTTTGAGGCCACCTATCGTCCTAATTATTTAAATTTCTGTTTTTTGGCAACTTTCTGAAATATATTCTGTTTCGATCATCATAGAATATAGTCCAATTAAGCAACCTTTCCGGTCTTTTGATCATTTATACAATTGCTTCTTCAATACTTAATCCAACTAACACTCACCACTACACCTACTTTGCAAACCTTTGTTTCTTTTTGTTTTCCTCCCTTTTCCTTTTAGCTATCTGGCCTTGAACTTAAAGGAAAGTAAAAAGGGTCGTGTAAGCAATGATTGCTTAGGTGTATAGACCTGCATCCAATATGCCAACCTCTCCATTGCCAAATATGTTTCATTAAGTTTCAAAATCCAATTATTTTTACTTAAACATGTTGGTCTTATCATTATGAGCAAAAAGAAGTATTTGAAGAATATATACTAGCTAGGAGATGTATCAGTGAAGAATAAAAAGAAAGTATTTCTCATCTAAAGTACTTGGCCTTTCAAGAACATTGAGAGAAGAAACCAAACTAAGTTGAAGCCAATAGCCAAGAGAAGATGACTACTGCAAGATTTATCAAATGTGTGACAGTTGGAGATGGAGCGGTTGGAAAGACTTGTATGCTAATTTCATACACTAGTAATACCTTTCCTACGGTAATATTAATTGGTTTTCTCATCTTTTCCTTTTCCCTTTCTTTACTTAAATTTCCTCCTCATTTCTTGGATGTTTGTTGTTAATTTCATAAGAATGTTGTTTGATAGGATTATGTTCCGACGGTGTTCGACAATTTCAGTGCAAATGTGGTGGTGGATGGCAGCACCGTTAACCTTGGCCTGTGGGATACTGCAGGTAAATCACCAAGGACCTTTACACCAATAGCCGGTCATTAGGATTAGGAGTGTACAAAGGAAACCGACAAATCGCACCAACCCGATAATCTGAATCAAATCGAGGAAAAAAACCCGATTATGGTTTGGTTTGATTTGGTTTGGTGTTGAAAAAAAACCGACAATAATTGATCTGGTTTGGTTTTAGCTAAAGAAAGTCAAACCGAAACCAACCCAACCCGATATTACATATATAGAAATTTTATATATATTTAATATATAAATATACTTATTGTGATGTACTTTATAAATATTTTTTAAAAAATTTCATAATTTTATATTTTAAGGTATTATTTCAAGGTTGGACTTAGAACTTTTAAATGTTCCAATAAGTTTTATAGCCATTAACATAATTAATTAAATAATGCTAAAAAAAGCCCATACCAAAATCAAATCAATACTAATGTTAACAAAAGGCATTCAATTCAATACCACGAACATAGAATGTATTGGATATCTGTTTTTTGTTTTGCAATAATTTAGATAAAAATGCATAACCTATTTTTATTTTTTCTTTAGCGTTTAGTCATGTAATTAATACTCCCTTATTAGTCTACTTATTTTAGCATGACTTGGTACTTTTAGATTATGTTTATTTTTATTATGACTTTTTAATTAGCAATATTTATATTACATAACTATATTGTCTTTATTGTTGAATATTTTAGGATAATGCCATGACACATCTCATATTTTGTATTATTTTCTTGGAAAATACTTTATATAGTTGTATCTTACTAGGATTAAAGAAATATTTTGAGCATAATTTATATGTTTTGTTCTACGAAGATTTTACCGGAAAAAACCCGAAAACCCGAGAAAAACCCGAGTTTTATTGGTTTGGTTTGGTCTTTAGATTTAATAAACCGACACAATTGATTTGGTTTGGTAATTGTAAAATTTGAACCAACCCGACCTATGTACACCCCTTTCGGTCATATTCATTGTTTAGTTTTTCTAGCCATATATATAGATTATATAATGATTATATATAACTATACACATATAATATACAAATTATGCATATATTATACTTCCACGGGCAAAATTATGCATATATTATACTTTCACCAGCTGTTTTTAGTTTAAGTTATTGGACGAGCGGCTATTTGTGTTAATTCTTCAAATCTATTTCACATATGAATTTGAATTCAATCATGATTTTTTTTCCTTAGCACTATTGAAGGGAATGTTTTCTTGCAATACTTCCCTTTTGTGGAGAAGGATTTTGATATTATGCCTTATAGTCGTACGATCAATTCTTTTTGAGTGTGTATTTATGTTGTGTGGTCTTATTTTTCTCGTTCGTCTTTTCTCTTCCTTATGGACGGGATATTGTGATTGAAACTTGAATTTATGATTGTGAAATGCAGGACAAGAAGACTATAACAGGCTAAGGCCACTAAGTTATAGAGGAGCTGATGTCTTTTTGCTTGCTTTTTCTCTAATAAGCAAGGCAAGCTACGAGAACATTTACAAAAAGGTTAGCTATTTCTCCTCATATAAGTGATTTTTTATATATAGAAATCATACAAGTATGATAAATCTGTCTTAATTGTTTACCAAAAATTCTCGTTGTTGATCATTAACAGTGGATCCCTGAGTTAAGGCACTATGCTCCTACTATTCCAATTGTTCTAGTGGGAACTAAACTTGGTAAGATCAATTTAGTATTTCATTATATATAAATATAATGTCATAATTAATTATCAAAACATATATTATAGCCTAATGTGAAACCTGATTTATAACTGGTTTACAACTAACGATGCCAGACCTGAGGGAAGATAAGCAATATTTAAGTGATCATCCAGGGGCAACTCCTATAACAACCTCCCAGGTGAGTCCAGTTATGGGAAGATTAGAGTTATTTACTTTTCTTTGACCGTTCCTATTAACAGAAAATTTGAGTTCTTGTGGTTACTTTTCAAACAAATAACAGAGATCTCTATAGTAATACGTTATGCTGTGCTGAAATTATTAATCTCTTACTTGACCCCCCCAAAAAAAATTACTAATATGTTATTTAAAATAAGGGAGAGGAGTTGAAAAAGATGATAGGAGCAGTTGCCTACACTGAATGCAGTTCTAAGACGCAGCAGGTAATTAACAAATACATTATAGCTTAATCAATCATTAGAACATCATTACACGTTAAATAAACAATCTTATCGACTCCTAATTTTCTTTGATATTTCTGTTTGGTGGCATTTTCAGAACGTGAAAACTGTCTTTGATACTGCAATAAAGGTAGCCTTGCGACCCCCTAAGATGAAGAAAAGACCGCAAAAGCGAAGAACATTATGCGCCATTCTTTGAAATTCTCCTACTCCTTTGTTTCACAGCCTTAAACTTTCGACTACTATTCAATTACTGTGTTCTTATCATTTTGTAACAGCATAAGAGGAAGAACCTAAGTTGTAATTTTTTCTTTTTTTGTATTATTTAGTTGTTAGGTGAAGTATTAAAGTTTCTTTTTAAACATTTTTTCTTTCATTATATATAATAAAATCTTGTAAGTTGTAATAGCTAGTTCCTTTCTTTTTTCTAACTATTCTATGTTACCCCGCTTTTGTCTAATTCCCAAATTTCCCAGTTCCCACTAATCGGTTCTTTTATTTTTTCGGTTGCACTAAATTAGCCCAAATACATTCTTAACATAGTGTGATATTGTTCGATTTGGGTCAAGCTCACACGGTTTTACCTCAAAGACCTTACACCATTAAGAGATCCCTACACCTTATATGTAGGCTCCCAATCTTTTCAGCTACCACTGTCAGACTTTGTTCGCACACCCAACAATCTCCCTGTCACGACCCAAAAACTAACCATATCGAGATGGCGTCTATCGTGGTATTAGGAAAGCCGACACATTACCAAAACAAATCGATATTTTCATTTTAAAGATAATTCCAAAGCTATTTAACTTTAAAATCTTCATAATAGAGTTCAAATTAAAACAAAGTGCGGAAAAGAAAGCCCGACATCGGGGTGTCACTAGTCATGAGCATCTACTACAACCATCTGACCATATCAAGACTAACATAGCCTGGAAATAACTGAATACAACTAAGGGAAGATAAAGAGGGAGAAAAGCAGGTCTGCGATCGCCAGACAACTACCTTGCTAACTCCGATGGATCTGCTACTGAATAATCAATACTCGCTACCGTGACCAGAGATGCCTGGATATGCACACAAGGTGCAGGGAGTAACGTGAGTACGCCAACTCAGTAAGTAACCACAGTAAATAAAGATTGAGAAGTAGTGACGAGCAATAATGCAAGTACAGTTCATATCACAAAAACTCAGTAAAATACAACATGTTTTTAAAACCATAGTTTGAATCAAATCAGGTTTAAATCCAGTTCCAGTAAAATCATTAAAACATCTTTCAACAGTTTTCAAATAAAGGTTCAATGCATAAGTGAGTAAAATGATAAAATCATAAACAGCCCCTCGGGCAAACATCATTCATATACAGCCCCTCGGGCAAACCTCACCATCACTCATATACAGCCCCTTGGGCAAGCCTCGCCATCACTCATGCCTCCCAGTCACTCAATACTCGGCACTCACACTCAGTAAGTACCTGCGCTTACTGGGGGTGTGCGGACTCCGAAGGGGTTCCTTCAGCCCAAGCACTACAACAAGCCAATCATGGCATAAATCAATCAGGCTCTTGGCCTCACTCAGTCATGAATCAGTAAAACATGCTGCGGCGTGCAACCCGATCCCATAAATATCCTCACAAATCAGGCCCTGGGCCTCACACAGTCATGAATCAGTAACGGCGTGCAGCCCGATCCCATTGATATTCACATAGATCAGGCCCTCGGCCACACTTAGTCATGATTCAATAAAATAACATTTATATGATGCATCAAAACAGAGTAACAGAGACTGAGTTATGCAGTAAATAAGTATAAACATGATTGAGTATAGATTTCCAGTCGAAAACAATGAGAGGATAGCAAGAAAAGACCTCTAAGGGTCCAAACAATACTGGCATAAGGCCTAAACATGGCATTCAACCTGATTTACATAAATTCTTTTTAAAACACGTAAGAAGTATGTAGTTTCAACAAAATATTCAACTTTACAGTAGATACGGGACGAACCAAGTCACAATCCCTAACGGTGCACGCCCACATGCCCGTCACCTAGCATGTGCGCCACCTCAAAATAGCCACATGACACAAAATCCGGGGTTTCATACCCTCAGGACTAGATTTACAATCGTTACTTACCTTAAACTGATCAATTCTCTACTCCGCGATGCTCTTGCCCCTCGACTCGGCCTCCAATTGCTCCGAATCTATTCACAACCAGTACAATACCATCAATATATGCTAAAGGAATGAATTCCACAAGAAAAACTATCAAATTAGACACAAATCCCGAAATTCACTCAAACCCGGCCCCCTGGCCCACGCCTCGAAATTCGAAAAATATTACAAAACTTGAAAGCCCATTCACTCACGAGTCCATACATATGAAATTCATCAAAATCCGACTCCATTTGGTCCCTCAAATTCTCAAATCAAACTCTCCAATTTTCAAGCCCTAAATTCCCAAATTTCTAGCTCAAATTCCTAATTAGATGATGAATAAAGCCATAGATTCATGAAATTTATACCATTATAGGTTAGAATCACTTACCCCAATGTTGCTCCTTGAAATCCTTCAAAAAATTGCCTCTCTCCCAAGTTCTTCAAACCCAAAATTAAAAATAGAGAACAAAACCTCGAGGTGGGGTTTTCTGCCCAGCAAAACCGCACTTGCGGTCCTATTTCCGCATCTGCTGGACCGCATCTGCGAAGCGGGCTCCGCTTTTGTAGAATTTCATTAAAAGGACTGCTTCCGCTTCTGCGATTTCCTGACCGCATTTGCGGTCATCGCAGATGCGGGGACCAAGCCGCACCTGTGATCCAGTTGCGCACCTGCACCCCAAATCTGCGGTTCCCACTCCTCCCTGTGTGGTTAAGACAGAACCAGCAGCTACAGCTATCTCCCAACACCAAAAATCAATCCGTTAACCACCTGAAACACACTAGAGGTCCTCAGGACCTCAACCAAACATGCCAACCAGTCATATATCATCATACAAACTTAGTCGAACCTTTGAAACACTCAAAACAACTTCAAAACACCAAATTACCCTCGAATTCGAGCCTAAAAACTTCTAAACTTTCAAATTCTGCAAACGATACCGAAACCTATCAAATCACCTCCGAATAACCTCAGATTTTACACACACGTCAAAAATGACACTACGAACCTACTCCAACTTCTGGAATTCCATTTCCATCCCGATATCAAATTTTCCACTACCGACCAAAATCGTCAAATTTCCAACTTTCACCAATGCAAGCCTAAATATACCACGGACCTCCAAATCACATTCCGGACGCGCTCCTAAGTCCAAAATCACCTAACGGATCTAACAGAACCATCCAAAATTCAATCCGAGATCAAATACTAAAATGTCAAAACTTGGTCAAACCTTTCAATTTTAAGGCTTCTAGCTGAGAATCATTCTTCTAACTCAATTATGAAAAACCTGAAAACCAAAATCAACGATTCACATAAGTCATAATAATTCATATGGAGCTACTCATGCCCTCAAACAACCAAGCGAAGTGCAAATGCTCAAAACAACCGGCCGGGTCGTTACATCCTCCACTACTTAAACATACGTTCGTCCTCGAACGTGCCAAGAGTTGTTCCAAAAGCCATCAAATCGCCGTGTAACCTCACTATGCACATACCCTGGGGTGATCCCACATCACCCTATCCCATATAGGTCTGATAACACAACATGACTGAAATTTCTTAATCCATCCCAGCCCATAAGTCTTAGAGCCCAATTTCCAACATCCAGAATTTTCTATAAGATCAGAATCTCGCATCTATGCTCTGAATAAGTCCAAACAAGTTGTATTAACCCATATCCGTAACCCAAGATGTAATCATATGATATACCACATAACTCAAACACTCATAGCGATAAATTCCGATCACAGTAGCTGCTCAAAACAACCTAATACCTTTAATAAACCTCTTATCAAACAAAGCCACATTCTAACACTTTTATATACTGCCAATGGTGAATGAAACATGCAGAAACTCATAACCATTTTCCAGATTAACAATTCATGGAGCTCCCTCTTCTCCGAAAGGAACTATAGACGATTCTAAGCCGACTTTCGATATTATCCTTCCAACCATGTTGTAACCAATTCTGATAGTATTCTTTCTAGGTCCAATGACCTCATCTCATCCAAAACGACCACTCCGATGTCATGACACAACAATATGATCCAAAACCATAACATGTGGTATTCGTGCGCCCAATAGCAATATCCCAACTATACTCAAATCATAGAAAATGATTCAAACGAGAGGACTGTCCAACCATCTTACCAAGTACCATCACAACACCACGCTAAGAGCCTAACACACATCGTAGAACCAAAACACATAAATCCGGCACCAAGGATCATACCTCTACATAAGTCCTCGACAATACGTGACCCCATCCAAACATTGGTCTGCATTATATACCTCGAGCCACCCTGCTCAAAATTCATAACCATTCGATATTTGACATTAAGAACCCATGGTGCATTACCATAACCACGGAGAAGCAAATGACACAACGCCACACAAAACCCGAAAGAACATAACCAATACGCCATCCACCAAACAATACCCAATACTCCTCCCGCTCAAATTCCGATATAAGACCCCAATAGAACCGCATCATATGTGCATATAACCAGTATATCACAACTCATTGTAACACGGAAGAGTAACTCATATATCACTCCAGAACACGAATAAGTTCAACAACAACTGAATGGCACATCCCTCAACAATAGCAGTTCGGAGTCAACATATCCGACCCGGTGTAGAACACACATCCATATTGGGCCTACCAATGAACCCCAAATCAACTTTGGTCACCCACAACATATAAATAACCCTTCGAAAATCTACAGTGACTGAATTACAATGCATACTACCCTCTGACTAACCTTAGCTATATTTTCACAGTCTATAACCACGAAACAATCTACTCATGAGAACTCCCAATCTCCAAATCCATAGAACACACGAATCACCATAGATGATCCCAACTCCACCGACCAAATATCTGACATGTCTTTCATACGCGATCATCCCACGAGGAATGCTTCTCTGATTCTTCCGTGCCACATCACAAAATCTAAGTATCAGCAGTTAATCAATTAGACAAGCACCACAATATCGATGAAGTATCCACAAATCAAAACACATTGCCCCCTTCTAAAATGTATACTCTTATCAATCCACACCAAATAGTAATATCATTCACCTAGTTATCTGAAACCGTCCATGTTATTTAAGAATTCATGACCTTTCCTTCAAAATTGAATCATGGCCTTGTACATGCAAATCTCAATCCCATGCAACACACCACACCTATCATGCCATCATGTGAAAAGTACGAGAACTTAAAAATCCACTCCGAGTCACAGTAACTACATA